GGCCGCTTCCCCCGGAAGTGTTGATTAAAGCCCCTCCAATCAGAGGCTCGGTGAGGGAAGTTTGAATTTTGCGGAGGCTCGAGTCGTAGGCGCTTCTGTTTCGGAGGCGGCGGCAGTCGTCCAGACCGAGAGGGCTTCTTTATCTTTAGTTTGGGTGAAGATTCACGCTAGAAGGTGCCTCAGGTAGGTGGATGCTGGAAAGCTGGAGGGAGGACGCTGGTCCACTTCCAGGTAAGGTCTACACGGGTCTGTGGACCGGGGACTGCTAGCGGGACGCCACTCAGGGGAAGGCTCCTCTAGGATCGTGTTGCCTGTTCTTCTGGAAGCTGGTGACACGATCCTCCTAAAGAGGGTCTGTTATGACTCATGCAGCGGTCAGCATTTTACCACTAGGGTGTAATGGCCTTTGGGGTGGGACAGTTTTTCAGCCTAAAGGCCAGTGGGACGTTCAGCATCTCTAGCCCGACCTTAAATTCCATTAGCTCCTCCCAGATTCTGTGACAACTAAAAACGCGCCGGCTGAGAACCTCTAGGCAAATAATACTAACTAACACATTCTAGACTTTCAACCTGGAAGAAACTCCAGCCAGCCAGATATTAGAGTTAAAGATGTGTGTGAAGGGCCACTCAGTCTGGCTTCAGATCCCAGGTGCACCACCTTTTAGTTGGGTTAATATGGACAGTTAATTTACCCGATCTCTACATTGGCGATAATCGTAACTATCTTTTAGGTTATTGTGGTAATTAAATATGCTTTTAGTGTTGGCACATGCTCTCTTTTTTATGTATTTTAGAAATAACTAGTACATACGTTTAATTTTTCTTTAATATTTAGTATTTGATATTAATACTCACAGGATGTAACAAACGAAATAGTAGAGGAGAGTTCTTGATGAAAAACAATCCATTAGCACTTACCCTGCACTCTTAAAGGAGAATGTTATTATATCCAGGTCAAATGGATTCTTGTTTTTTTCTGCTCTATTGATTGCGTAAAATCATGTAACACTTTAGTTCGTTGAATTTCTTTTCTTTTTTTAGAGAGATTTTTGCTATAGGGTGCATGCACTCGCTGGAGAGACAGAGAGAGATAGAAAGTGAGAAGTCACCCCCCAGGGAGATGGCCACAGCAATCCCTTCTTGTCCATTCTCCTCTCCCAATCTTGAGCACACACACACATGCCCAGGCGTGAGTTTCAAGCCACAGGGTCTGGAACTTGAACTGGGGTCAATCATATGGGAATCCAGTGACATAATCATTAGACCATCTGCTGGTCCCATTTGTTGCATTTCTTATGCAGACCTTTTTTTTTTTAACCTAAAGTTTTCTAGTGCATCTTAATATTTTTATTTCAGGAGGCTCCGAGATGGGACAGGAGATGAACTAGAATCTTAATATCTTAAATAATAAAATGAAAAGCCATGTAAGTTGATTTCTTTCTCTTCCCTGACAGGATGTCTTCGTCGTATTTTGCCAGTAGACACAAAAAGGATTTAAGTACTAACATGATTAGAGCTAAAATTGCTCACAGGAAATCACTGTCTCAGAAGGAAAATAGGCATAAAGAATATGAACGAAACAGACACTTTGGTTTGAAAGATGTCAACATTCCAAACTTGGAAGGTAGAATTCTTGTTGAATTGGATGAGACTTGTCAAGAGCTTGTTCCAGAAAAGGCCAATGTCAAGCCAAGTAAGTAAAAGTCTTTTTTAATTCAGTACTTTGTAGAGTGAATTAAAATTGGTTAATGCCTGTGAATAAAACAAAATGAAGTTAAAAAAAAAAACCTCTCAGAGGAGTGAAGTTTTGAAATACTATTTTAAATAACTTGTGTTTTCTACAACTAAATACTGTCTATTTAAGATAAAGGCTGAGTAGGTCTCTACCAAGGCTAAAAGCTATTCACCTATGCAGTATTATAGTACTTTCTCATCTACCAATATATTGTCCTATGGGTATCCTAAAGTTCTTATTTCTAGAGCATAAGGTTAGTATTGGCAAGATATAAATTGATTAAAAAAAAAACTTAAAATAAAATAAAGAACTCATGAAATAATTCTTTGCCAATGGAAACATTTCTTAGAGAAAAAAAGCAAAGAATTTATTCTTATAATTTGCCCCAAAGTATTTGGGGTCATTAAAAAAAATAGAGAACTAATTAAAGAAGAAAGGAATAATCTCAGTAAAGTAATAGAAATTGAGAGTCTTAGAAGGCAAGGGGTGCCACAAGGAAGGAGGAAGAGAACTGAGAAATGATTTTTGCATTTAACCAGAGGGAGTCACTGAACTATTAAGTTTAAGTTGTGTTTCCATAGGTGGAATTAGGAACTAGGTAGCAGTGAAAATAAGGACAACTGGCAGAAAAAGATAGTCTCCGAAGTTTTATAGAAAAAGTAATGAAGTATCAAGTTGTTTAACTGTTCACTGCTTTGATTATATTATTTTCCAGGACTAATATAATATGTGACACAAAATGTTCGAAGTATTGTAGCGTAACTGATTTTATAAAGGCAGAAGAGTTGGGCTAGAATATTTCTTCCAGATTGGTCATTTTTGTGATTCCAAAGGGAAGTGAGGGAAAAGAATCCAACAAAGATGTTCTGAGAGTCTTTTGTTTTTGAGATGAGATGGTTGATATATGTTTAAAGGTCAAAGTAAATGGGCTCCCCTATAGTTGAAGGTGAGAGAATAAAGAATGACATCTCTTAGGAAATGGAAACAAGGCTGTAGAATGATATGGGGTGGCCTTTAAAGAATGCAACTTATTTTTCCGCCTAAGAAGTGATGGTATTGCCTCCTAAGTCATTTCCTTGCCTATACTCTTGTCCTCTTAAGTGCTCTTTGGCTTTGCCCAAATCATTCCAATGAAAGTCTAATCATGTCAATATGCTCTTAAAATATCCTTTAGTTTCTATTTGCATAGGCTTAGAAGTAGCCTGGGCTTGGTATGTTCCTGAGAAAGCACGGAGACAGTCATGGCTGGAAAATGAGCAGGAGAGCTAGATCCAGTAGAACCCTAAAAACCACTAAGAAGGACACTGGCTTTGACTCTGACTGAAAAGACATTAATAGATTATTGAATGTTTACGTAATCAGATTTATGTTGTAAAGGGATCACAGCCGCTGTGTTGAGAAGAGTTTGCAAGGTGACGAGTATGGTCTTAGAAAGACTAGTTAGGAGACTATTGCTCTAATTTAGTTGGTAGTTGTGATTGATCAGGATGGTAGCAACAAAGACTAGTGAAAGTTGAACTAATATGATTTCCTGATAAATTGAAAAAGAGAATATGTGCCAGCAGGTGGTGCAATGGTTAAGACACTGGACTCTCTGGCACCAGCAGTTAGCATAACAGCTATGTCGCTGGACTCCCACGTAGTCGACTACGGTTCGCATCCCATACCTGGTGGCTTAAAACTCACACCGGGCATGTGTGCATGCGTGCCCAAGACCCTGAGAGGAGAATGGAGGAGAAGGGGTTGCGGCGTGACCATCCCCCCAGGGGGTGATTTCTTGCTTTCTGTCTCTCTGTCTGTCTGGCGAGCGCACGCACCCTATAGCGAAAACCTCTACAAAAAAAAAAAAAAAAAGACACTGGACTCTCACATGGGTGACTGGCATTTCAAGTCCTAGACCTGGCATCCGCCCAAAAAATCATTCCAGGTGCATGTGTATGTGTATGTGTACATGTGCCCAAAATCCCGAGATGAGAAGGAATTGCAACATGGCCCTCTCCGGTGGGTAGTGATTTCTCACTTTCCCTCTCACTGTCCCTGGAAAACACATGTGTCTTATCGCAAAAACAAAAAGAAAGAATGTTATGGGACAGGAGAGCTGAACTGCATTGTGTAAAACACTCAGTTCTTTGAGTCTAGATCTCTAAGGTTAGAGACCCACCTGTGAGACACAGAATGACGTCACTTGTAAAGTTGGAAAAGAGAAATTTTAATAGGAAAATGAAGATTTGTAATAGAAAAGAAATACACCACCACCACCCCACCTTCCAGAAAGGCATGCAGGTACTTCAGAAAAGGGCAACTGTACCTGGGAATGTCACTAAGTGTTACTCTTATTTTGGGATCTGGTCATGAATATTTAGGAGACGAGGCCTGTCATTGTAGCTATATCTTTTGAATTCTCAGGCTTTTTTTTTTAAATCTGTACTTGCATACTTCCTTCAGATAAGGAATCTGATTACCCAATTATGCATACCCAGTGTAGATTATGAGCATCCATTATATGTGTTGTTACCGTATGAGCATCTATCCTCATAGAGTCTATCTGTCCCATTAGTTTTTTGCCCCAGTGGGAATTAGGATTTGGTCAAGCATCTCGGTGAGGTAACCTCTCCTCTCTTGGTGCCAAGGGGTCTGGCTACGTCCCTTGTAACAGTGATTGATATGTCAGATGTCCCCTTTGCTGGCATATTGGAATTCCCTGCTCATAATATCTACCTATATTAAGAACTGGGTGTAATTCCAAGGTTTTCAGCCTGAGCAGCTAAAAGTATGGAGGGCCATTTACTATGACGTTGTAAAAGCCTGAGGGAGGAACAGTTTTTTAAGGGTATATTAAGATTAAAAGTTCATTTGGGGGACCAGCATGTGGCACTGGTGGTTAATGGCTGACTGCGGTTTGAGTCCCGGACCTGGTGGCTTGCTTTCTCACTTTCCCTCTCTCTCACTCTATCCCTCTCCAGTCAAATTAAAATAAATGAATAAATAAAGTTAAATAAATTAATTCTAAAACAAAAAAAACTTCATTTGGGACATGTTACATTTATGATGCCCTGTAGGGGAGATGATAAAAAGGTAGTTGGATACATAAGACGAGTTAGAGGGAAATTTGGGCTGGGGAGAAACATTCAGGAGTGGTCAACTTACATTGGTGTTATAAACTGTAAGATTGGATGTGGTTATCCAGAGTTCTGATGTGGAAGAAGGAGAGAAGAGGAAGCATTCCAATATTTAGAGTGAAGACATGAGGAGAAACTAGCCAAGAACTGTGGTACAATACAAAGTAAAGAGGACAGCTGGATTACTGTGCTATCCCTGAAACCAAGTGAAAAAATGCATATCTAAAAGGAGACCGGTTAATTGTCAGCCAGCACTGCTTCATTAGATCAAATAGTGTTAGAAGTGATCATCAATTTCACAATGGTCAGTGTAGATCATTATTGAAGGAATTGCAACATGGCCCTCTCCGGTGGGTAGTGATTTCTCACTTTCCCTCTCACTGTCCCTGGAAAACACATGTGTCTTATCGCAAAAACAAAAAGAAAGAATGTTATGGGACAGGAGAGCTGAACTGCATTGTGTAAAACACTCAGTTCTTTGAGTCTAGATCTCTAAGGTTAGAGACCCACCTGTGAGACACAGAATGACGTCACTTGTAAAGTTGGAAAAGAGAAATTTTAATAGGAAAATGAAGATTTGTAATAGAAAAGAAATACACCACCACCACCCCACCTTCCAGAAAGGCATGCAGGTACTTCAGAAAAGGGCAACTGTACCTGGGAATGTCACTAAGTGTTACTCTTATTTTGGGATCTGGTCATGAATATTTAGGAGACGAGGCCTGTCATTGTAGCTATATCTTTTGAATTCTCAGGCTTTTTTTTTTAAATCTGTACTTGCATACTTCCTTCAGATAAGGAATCTGATTACCCAATTATGCATACCCAGTGTAGATTATGAGCATCCATTATATGTGTTGTTACCGTATGAGCATCTATCCTCATAGAGTCTATCTGTCCCATTAGTTTTTTGCCCCAGTGGGAATTAGGATTTGGTCAAGCATCTCGGTGAGGTAACCTCTCCTCTCTTGGTGCCAAGGGGTCTGGCTACGTCCCTTGTAACAGTGATTGATATGTCAGATGTCCCCTTTGCTGGCATATTGGAATTCCCTGCTCATAATATCTACCTATATTAAGAACTGGGTGTAATTCCAAGGTTTTCAGCCTGAGCAGCTAAAAGTATGGAGGGCCATTTACTATGACGTTGTAAAAGCCTGAGGGAGGAACAGTTTTTTAAGGGTATATTAAGATTAAAAGTTCATTTGGGGGACCAGCATGTGGCACTGGTGGTTAATGGCTGACTGCGGTTTGAGTCCCGGACCTGGTGGCTTGCTTTCTCACTTTCCCTCTCTCTCACTCTATCCCTCTCCAGTCAAATTAAAATAAATGAATAAATAAAGTTAAATAAATTAATTCTAAAACAAAAAAAACTTCATTTGGGACATGTTACATTTATGATGCCCTGTAGGGGAGATGATAAAAAGGTAGTTGGATACATAAGACGAGTTAGAGGGAAATTTGGGCTGGGGAGAAACATTCAGGAGTGGTCAACTTACATTGGTGTTATAAACTGTAAGATTGGATGTGGTTATCCAGAGTTCTGATGTGGAAGAAGGAGAGAAGAGGAAGCATTCCAATATTTAGAGTGAAGACATGAGGAGAAACTAGCCAAGAACTGTGGTACAATACAAAGTAAAGAGGACAGCTGGATTACTGTGCTATCCCTGAAACCAAGTGAAAAAATGCATATCTAAAAGGAGACCGGTTAATTGTCAGCCAGCACTGCTTCATTAGATCAAATAGTGTTAGAAGTGATCATCAATTTCACAATGGTCAGTGTAGATCATTATTGATCTTGATGAGTAGTGTTAGTGGAGTGAAGTTTAGGAGTAGTGTCAGTGAAGTTTAGGAGTTAAGGCCAGACCCGTACGGATTCAAGAAAGAATGGCAGTACCACTGAGGCAGGAGAAAGCTAGTAAATGGAAACAGGTAAGAGGGCCAGAGCATCTGCCCATGTATGTGGCCAGATAGGAAAACCTGATCAGGGCAGAAAATTCCCCACCCTAGGTAATGTAGGCAAGAGATTAGTGCAGAATGTCTAGCTGATTAAACCACATCTGATAGAGCCAATGAGAAATAAGTAGGCCTAGCCACATTTGATAGAGCCAATGAGAAGAGAGCGATCAGTGGGCCCAGCCAATGATCAACCACACCACCTTGGTTAAAAATTATAAATCCGGCAGAATGCAACTCTTGGAGCCTTTGGAGCCATTCCTTCTCTGTCCATGCAGGCTCGCTCCTACCTCTCTGGAGTATACTTTTACTTTTACTTAATAAACTACCTTTTCCTTACACTATTTGTATGTTTCATTCAATTCTTTGTCTGACACTCCAAGAACCTGGATAAATAATCCAGTATAGAGAAAAAGGTAGATGAATAAAAGTAAATTGCTGGAAGAATATCCTTCCAGCAGATGAGAAAGAACAGAGTACATTTAATATAGCAAATAACACCTATAATTATATTATTTCACGCAATTTTTGTGGGGCCGAAATTTGGGCATGACTTAGGTGGGTGCTTCTGGAAGTAGCAGTCAAGATTTCATCCAGGGATGCATCTGAAGGTTTAACTGAGGCTAGAGGATCTGTCTCCAGGATGACTGACTCACATGACTAGCAAGTTAACACTGGCTTTTAGCAGAAGGCCCTATTTCTTTGTCATCTGAACATCCTTATAGGACTGTTTGAATCTCCTTGAGTCTTTCTTTTTCTTCTTCTTTTTTTTTTTTGAGATATATTTGCTAGAGGGCACGTGCGCTCGCCAGAAAGACAGAGAGAGACAGAGATAGAAAGTGAGAAATTGCCCGCCAGGGGGGCTGGCCACGCCACAATCCCTCCTCCTCCATTCTCCTCTTGGGATCTTGGGCATGCATGCACACACGCCCGGCATGAGTTTTAAGCCACCGGGTCCAGGACTTGAACGGTCGACTACGTGGGAGTCCAGCGATACAGCCATTACACTAACTACTGGTCCCAAGTCTCCTTGAGTCTTCACATGGCCCCTGGCTTCCCCAAACTAAGTGACCCAAGAGTGAGCAAGGCAAGAGGTGTCTTGTCTTGAAAGTCACCCAGTTGTTTTCATAATACTATCTTGGTTACACAGGTCAGCCCTGTTTGATGCAAAGGGGACGACGGCACAGGGGCATGAACATCGCTTGGGGTTGGCTTGGAGGCTGGTTAACTTATAATACATACCTTGTACATAATAACGAATTAATAAATATTTGAACAAGCAAGGGTAAAAGGAATAGGGATTTTGAAAGACTAAGCTTTGAAGTAATGCATGGTTAGAGTACTAAGGAGTTATCAAGAAAGCATTTCTTAGGAGCAGTTGAAGTTTAGAAAAAAATGATTTTATAGACATTCATGTAACTTTCTATCTGAACTGTTTTGTTTACCATGTTTTGTTTTGTTTTTGGTCTGCTTAGCGTCGACGAAAACTGTTGTAGATGATCAACGAAAACGAATGCTCCAGAAGTACAAAGAAGAAAAGCAACTGCGAAAGCTGAAAGAGCAGCGAGAGAAAGCTAAACGAGGAGTATTTAAAGTGGGTCTCTACAGACCTGATATGCCTTGTTTTCTTTCATCAAAACAGAGCGCTGTGAAAACTGAGCCCAAACAGGTAAATTTAGTATTGGATCTTGATATCGAGGAATAGTTTCTTTTATTTGGAATTTCCTTTAAGAGATTCAATAACTAAAATAAATTCTTCTCTTTAGTTTCTTTATTTACTTAATTACTTGATGGCGAGTGGAAAGGGCATTATAGTAGCTCAGAAGAAGGAGAACCAGCTCTTTTGAGACAACCATGGGTCAGCAGACATAGGATAAGACTGGGAAAATGGGTAAAGCCAGGCCAAACAATAATATGCCAAAGGATGTGAAGTTTATCTCATAGTTTATGTAGAGTCAAGGATGTTTTATAAGTGAGGTAATGCCAATGTCAAATTAATAATTCCAGAAAATTATAGTCTTTAAGATTATAGTCTGGAAAGGGAGCATATGCTTTTTAAAATCTGCCAGAGAGTGGATGTGCTCACCAGAGAGAGAGGAAGAAAGTACCTCCTCAATGGGGTATGTTCATGTTGTAATCCTTCTCTGCCATCCTGTTGGACTTTGGGGCACACATGCACACATGCCCAGAATGTTTTTCAAGCTGTTGGGACCAGGATTTGAACCACATGGTCAGCCATGTGGAATCCAGCTCCTTTCACCATCAGGCCACAGGGCTGACCCAAGGGAAGCATTTATATTGGGTCATCAAAAAAGTCCTAATGCATTTTTGCATAGAAAAATACATTATGACTTTTCCGACAGCCCAATAGATGGGAAGACCAGCTGTGAGACTATTGTAGTAAAATAGGTGACCCAGGATAAGTATAAATTTAAAATGGAAGAAATAGATATAAGATATCTTTTTGTTTTTTAAAAAGAATTATTTATTTAGTTTTATTATTTAAAAAAAATTTTTTTTTGAGAAGTGTTCGCTATAGGGCGCATGCACTCACCAGACAGACAGAGACAGAGAGACAGAAAGCGAGAAATCACCCCCCAGGGGGGATGGTCACGCTGCAATCCCTTCTCCTCCATTCTCTTCTCGGGATCTTGGGCATGCACGCACACACGCCCAGTGTGAGTTTTAAGCCACCGGGTCCTGGACGTGAACCGCGGTCGACTACATGGGAGTCCAGCGACATAGACATTACGCTAACTGCTGGTTCCCTCTTTTTTAAAATTTGCTATAGTGCATGTACACTCACCAGAGAGAGACAGAGAGAGACAAAGAGAGGGAAAATGAGAAAGTAAGCTTCTAGGTCTGGGACTCAAACTGCTCTCAGCCACGTGGGGGTCCAGCACCTCAACCACCACGCTACCTGTTGGTTCCTGTATAGGACATGTTAAGAAATACATTTGCTGGGACTGGTGACTGTAGATGGTGAGGGATAAAATCAATTGAAAAATCAGAGATAAGATGATTCTGAAGCTATGAGGTGATATTTTTAAATATATATTAGAGGAGGAAGAGATTATTTCTGTTTGAAAGGAAACCAAAGAAGTCTCCTTGGACTCAGATTTAAGCTGCCATTTGAAGAATAGGTAGGATGCCAATCACTAGTCTGTAGACAACTATTTTTATTTATTTTATTTTATTTATTCATTAATTTATTTTAATTTGACCAGAGAAAGACACACAGAGATGAGAGAGAGAGATAGAGAGAGAGGGAAAGTGAGAAAGCGAGCACAAGGTCCAGGACTTGAACCATGGTTGGCCATGTGGGAGTATCCAGCACCTTAACCACCACACCACCTGCTGGTCCTCAGACAACTATTTTTAACAGGTTATATGGGGGCCAGCAGGTGGCATGGTAGTTAAAGCGTTGGACTTCCACATGGCTGACCATGGCTCAAGTCCCAGACCTGGCAGCTTGCTTTCTCACTTTCCCTCTCTCTGTGTCTCTTTCTGGTGAGCATAAAATCCCTGTAGCAAACTTAATAAGTAAATAAATAAAATAAATACATATTTTTTAAAAATGTCATATGTAGGGAAGGGAAGAGGTATATTGTTGTGTTATGTAACAGATTCACAAATAATTGTTTTCAAGTTTATTTTACTCCTTTTGAGAGAAGAGAACCAGGTACCCTTATAGGGTCTAATTACACTGTGATTTCTCCACCCCTAACCTTCCATACAGTCAGGATCACAGTGCATGCAACCACTTGGTGGATTTCAAGTTGCTTCCAGATCTTACTGTGGTCTTCCATGGGCTCCAGTATTACAGAGTGGTGCCTGTTGCCTGGTTCACCAATAATTGTTGGTTAATCTCTTAAGATGATAGCTATCACTGAATTTTGCTTCCCTTATACCTGCTAAAGGAAAGCTTGATTTGATTAGAACTAGGTTATCACTGAGATTTAGAGAGGGAAATGGCATCTAAACTAGAGAAGTCTATGATTATGCTTCTGTGATTTTACAAACTTGGTAAATACCTTACCACTTTTTAAAGTTTCTTCCTTTATTCTTGATAGAATGCACATGTGAGAGAGATGCAAGGGTTTGGTCATGCCATGATCCCCTTCCACCAGTCCTCCAGCCCATCAGATACTGGCACTTGCATGTACCTGACATGCCCGTGTTTCAGGCTGACATGCCTGGGGAGTCAAACTGTGGTCACCATTTGGAATTGACTTCTCTTGGGTAGAGTTTTACTACCATGCAGCCAGCCCTTTTATCAATTTTTAATCTTTCTCTTTTTTTTTGGAGAGATTTTCGCTATAGGGGGCGTGCGCTTGCCAGACAGACAGAGACATAGAGACGGAAAGCAAGAAATCACTCCCCAGGGGGGATAGTCACACCGCAATCCCTTCTCCTCCATTCTCCTCTCGGGATCTTGGGCATGCAAGCATATGCGCCCGGCGTGAGTTTTAAGCCACTGGGTCCGGGACGCGAACCGCGGTCAACTACGTGGGAGTCCAGCGACATAGCCATTATGCTAACTGCTGGTTCCCCTTTAATCTTTCTCTTACCACGTTATTTTTTTCACGTTTTGTGATCAAATATGTTTTCTTATTATCAAGAGACAAGTACATAATCATGAGATTTGAAAGCAAGTTGATAAAACTAGGAAAGTAGGCTATAAATTATTTTTTTCATATAAAGAGAAAACAAATAGTCAGGGCCAGCCAGTGGCATGATGCTTAAAGTATCTGGATCCCACATGGCCAACTGGATGGTTCAAGTCCCAGACCTGATGACCTGAAAAACCTGTTGGGTGTGTGCCCCCAAAATTCTGGAAGGAGAAATGGAGAAGAGATTGTGCATGACCATCTCCCGCCAGAGGGTGCAAGTGCACATACCCTGTAGCAAATTTTTCAAAATCTTAGTGCTCTAGTCAGCTCCTCTATCTACTTCCTAAATATGTCTAGCTAATTACATTAATCAGCCTTCTAATACATGCAAAACATGATTTGAAATTTTTTCTCTTAGTGATAAATATGAGTGAGTTTTGAAGCTATTAACTTAAACTTAATTTAAATCAAGCCAAACCCAGAAGTTAGCAAGTTCTCTTTTTGCCATAAATTATTAAGGATAAAATGTAACTTTAAAGTGGGAATTTTATTTCATAATGAGACATGGAAGTAAATGGACTTTTACTGATTCATTCTTAACATTATCTTCTTTTGACATTTAAGGCTATTCCATCTTCGACAAGGATTACAAGGTCAAAGGCTAAAGACCTAATGGAGCAGACTAAGGTATAATTAATAGTTTATTGTTACTGAGATGACAAGTTGTACTTTTTTTTCTCAGAGGAGTACGTTATTTTTCCCAAAATTTATTTTACTTCTGGAAAAAAAGAGAAGGGTGGTCGGGAGAGAGACACAGACAGACATGGACCCTTAACAGGGCCTCCTCATACTATGACCCTTTCCCTGACCTTCCAGACAGCCAGGACTGTGGGCATGTGAGGCTGTGCCCTATGTGTCAAGGCTCATCCAGGATTTGAACTCAGGGCTTCCCATACAACTCCAGGATTATGCAACAGTGATTTACAGCCCGTACCATTGTCACTGGACCTCTTTTTAATATTATATGAGATTCAAACATAGTAATGTATTAGAGTTGACAGATCCCAAAATCACTGTTACTGGTATGGTGACACATTAACAGTATAGTTTTTGGCTAGATGCTAAAGGGTATTTTCACCGAAGTGTTCTTTGTGCTCTTATGAGATCCATAGCAAACTTTGTGTCACACTCTTGTTTATTGAGCTCCTGTTATACATTCCAAATGCAGATAGGAAAGAAAGCACGTGAGGTAGGTGATATACACATAGGGGTCCATAAAATGCCATTAAGGATGGAGATATTTAGGAGGGTTACTAAAGTAGTTCGAAGTGGTCAAGGATGAAAGCAGTAAATAAATGCTTCTTTATCAGGTTAGGAAACTGAGTTCATGTGTTCAGCAGATTTTGAGTGACTGCCATGTTCCTGATACTGTTCTAGGCTTTGAGATACAGTAGTGAATGAAACAAAAATATTCTGTGTCTTCATGAAATTTACATGTAAGGCAGGCTCTTAAAAAAATAAAGCATATCAGATGGTCAGAAGTCTGATGGAGGAGATTAAAAATTGGAGGGCACTAGACATGGGTGTGGAGTAGAATTTTGATGGGGGCAGTCATAGAAGAGGATCTCACTGAGGTCGCTATTTAAGTGAAGTCATTTTTTAAAAAATGGAAGAGTAAACAATAAAAGAGCTTTCTTTTCAGAAGATTTTTTTGTTTGTTTTTTTTGTTTGTTTTTTGTTTGTTTGTTTTGCTATGTACACTCACCAGAAAGAAAGAGAGACAGAGAGACAAAATCGAGAAATCACCCCTGAGGGGAGATGGCCAAGCCGCAATCCCATCTTCTCCAGTCTCCTCTCGGATCTTGGGCATGCATGCCCACACATTTGGTATGAGTTTCATGCCACTGAGTCAGGAACTCGAACCACTCAAACTTGCTTGGCCCCATGGGAGTCCAGCAATGTAACCATTACGCTATCAGCTGGTCCTGCCTAGTATTGTTTAAGGACCCTCCTTGGGTTATAGTCAGCTGTTTGTAGTAGCTTAGGTTATCAGCACTTTCTAAATTCTAGGATTCTGAGTAAAAGGTATAAGGAAATTTATATAATGGAAAACTTTTTTCTTTATCTCATATTATTTAAGGTACTAGATCTTTTTGTTGGGTTATTTGTAATTGATTTCAGATGTAGCATCAATTTACAAAGGAAAAATATGGTCCGATTCATTTGCGCAATTAAATTACATAGCACCTAATCTCTTACATAGATTAATAATGGGAGTGATGTTCGAGCAGCTCGACCTGGACAGAGACAAACTTCTGAAAAAAAAGTGTTGGACAGAGAGAAAAAAGGTAGGAATATTAGTACTTATTATAAACTCAGATGCTGTGACAACAGTAATTTAATAATTGCAAAGATCATTTGAGTTGATTATTTTTTCCCACAGTTGTACAGCCTGTCGGGCCCACTTTGGTGAGAATGACCCGATCAGCCACTCAAGTGGCTAAGCAGGTTGCTGGAACAGTCTCTTCTACCACAACAAGAAAGCCCACCACAGGAGCTACTCATGGTAAGCCATTCCGTAATCAGTAACTGAACTAGAATGATTTGGTCCTTCAGGCTTTTGTGTTTAATTTTTAAAATCAGTATGTACTTCTTTGAGTAAGAAAGGAGGAGATAGGTGATTCCAATTCCTGATGGTAGGTTCTGTCTCAGTGTCCAGTTGACATGAGGTGGGTGCTAAAACAGTGAAGAACCTGAATTAGTACAAACAGTGTTTCAAAGTGAAAAATTTGTGGCCTAAATAAATCACAGTTCATCCATTTGGTGGAATACATTGTAACCGTTAAGAATAATGCTGTAAAAGAACACTTATAGAAGTGGTTCCTGATCTATTAAGCAAGCAAAGAAAAGGAGGTCAAACTATAAGCAGTAGGATCACAATTAAAAAAAATTATGTGAATATGTGGACATAGGAAAAAACTGGAAAAACAGACCCTGACATGTAAACTGAGTAATGGAATCTTGGGGTTTTTTGCTTGTTTCTAGTTGTTGCTCTTCGTGCTTTTTAATTTATTTCATGGTCAGGGAAGACTAGAACCCTTTCCAGGGTCCTATCATGTCTCGGTCTTACCCCAGCCTCCAGCCAGCCATAATCACGGGTATGCCACTGGGGATGCCAGGCATGTTCAGGGCCAGCCAGGATCCGAACCCAGGATCTTCCCAGATAACTCCACCATCACACAGTGACATATAACCACCTGCAGCCTGTAGCTGGCCTGGAATCTAAAACTTTGAACCCCAACGTGACACCACAGCTGAAAACTTCCACACCTGACCTTGCAGGAGGGTTTCGGTCAATAGAAAGTATGGTCTGTGAGGTCACATGTAGGAAAGCTCTTCTGAGCGCCACCTGAGGTCGCTGCAGGCCAGACATCCAGACTTGGCCTTGGTAGGAGCCCACATTCCAGTACTACTACTGCAAGGTCACACTGATCCAGGGAGTAGTAGACAGTCATGCAAAGTGAGTACTGAGAGGTCTAACTCCTGAGAAGCAGAACAAATAAAAACATAAAATGTTTCATGTGTGCTTATCCCACCGTGCATAACTCCCCTACTGTATCATTTCCATGGATCATGGATAGTCTCCCAGAAAGCTTGATTATCCTATAAAAGGACCCTCTTTCCTGATGGGCAGGCTGAACCACCTCTGGTTTAGAACCTCCCCTGCCCCTCGCGCTTTTGCTCAATAAACTTTCTTTTTTTATGGAGAGGTTTTTGCTTATAGGGCGCTTGCGCTCTCCAGAAAGACAGAGAGAGACAGAGAGATAGAAGGCGAGAAATCATGCCCTGGGGGGATGGCCACACCATAATCCATTCTCCTCTCGGGATCTTGGGCATGCACACATACACACCGTGCACGAGTTTAAGCCAGGACTCAAACCATGGTTGACTACATGGGAGTCCATTGACGTAGCCATTACACTAACTGCTGGTCCCAATAAACTCTCTTGAAGTAATGCCTCCTGCCTGAGTCTTACTCCTGACCTTGACAACATAAACTTACCTCAGACAATTTATAAGATGTACATGAAATATAAATGAATTTCATGTTTACATTTGGGTCCCATCTTTAGGAGGTATCATTATATATATGCAGATATTCCAAAATCCAAAAATCTGAAACACTTCTGGTCCCAAGCATTTCAGGTAATGGGTATTCAACCTGTATGTGATATTTGGAGGAAAAAGATAAAACAGATTTTTTGCCTATTGGTAGAAAGTTTTATTTGTTTTTATTCCATTTTATAATATGTTAAAGGATAAAAATCCAAATTACCTCATACTTGCAATGCAGTATTTTCTATCTAGTCAAAATGGATGTCTTATTTTTATTTTAGATAATGAACCAGAAAGAAAAGCACCAAGTAAAGGAAGACCTGCCAAAAAGATAGAAATAAAACCTGACAAGGTAGAATATAAACACCTGTTTGTTTTTATATGCTTTGAAAACTTCATTGCTAATTTTGTGAGGCTGAAATTAAGCATACAGAACTGCTTTAGGAAGTTAACCTATACGTGTGTTAAAGAAAGCCTCTTGAACAAGGAAGAGCAAGAGGATTTACTGTTATCATGGTTATTTTCAAGTATCTTGAAAGCTTTGTAGGTAGAGAAAGCACAATTTGATTAACAGAAGATGAAGACAAATAATGGAAACACACCTGAGAGAAGCCTTTATGTGGGAATTAGCTAAGAGAGAGATGGTATAGCATGAAATGTGTTGACTTGGAATTCAGTTTCGGCCTGGGTTTGAATATCATCTGTGCTTCTAATTAACTGCATAACCTTAGGCAAGTTTTGTAATAGATGAGTTGTTTTCCTATCTGTAATATGAAATACTTGCATAGGGTGGGTTTAAGAATTAAATAAGCTAACATTTTTGACAGCATCTAGCAGTCTAAGAAGGTCCTCAAGAAAGAGGTGCACTATTGAGAACCCAATCCTTTGGTTTATAATTCAAGCTACAGTTCCTTTTTTATTTTTTAAGAATTATTTATTTAATTCCATTTGTTGATGTTATTATTATTTTTTAATTCATCCAGTAAGAGATAGAAGGAAAGAAAGGGAAAACAAGAAAGCAAGCTGCCAGGTCTGGAACTTAAACTGTGGGTAGCCATGTGGCGGTCCAACACCCCAACCACCATGCTACCTTCCAGCCCTGAGCTACAGTTCCTTTGTTATAAAAGGTAGAGTTACCCAGGGCCAGCCAGGTGGTGTGGTGGTTAAGATGACTGGATCCCACATAGCTGAGTGTGCGATTCAAGTCTTAGACCAGTGGCTTGGAAAATACACTTGGGCATGTGCACATGTGTGCACAAAATCCTAAGAGGAGAATGAAAGAGAAGGGATTGCAGCATGACCACCTAGGTAGGTGATTTATCACTTTCCCTCTCTTCCTCTCTTAGCTCTCTGACAAGCACACACAGCCTATAGCAAAAAATTAAGGAAAAAAAATAGGGAGTAAGTAACCTGACTAGATTCAAGGAAGGCAATGCAGGTAAATCTTCACAGACAAGCAACTGAGCCTTATAGATTCTCCCCTGAGACTGTTTCCCCTTAAGGATTATTACTAGTTTTCACTTTCTCTGCCATGCTAGGCTTAAGGGATAGTGTTAATCACTTAAACTCTTGTCTGGGTTAAATATGGTGATGTAAGTTTGTACCTCATTAAAAATGAGAAACCTAGAAAACTAGGTATATAAATACCTAGTAATAAGTGATTTGAAAAGAAAATATGCTTCATATTTTATATGGTTTATCTTATTGTGTCACATTGAAAAGTACTACTCTTATAAGAACATTTATAATCTAAGGTTAATTTTAAAACAGATTTGGCATTTAATAATTGTAGTCATCCAGTAAGCATCGATTTCTGACACAAACCTTTTTATTTATTAATGTAATTTAAATAAAAAGATACATATTTGGTAGTTAAATAAATTTTTCCCTCTTAGTTTTCATGTATTTTAATTTGTTTTAATACCAAAAGGTATTATTTAATAATAAGGAATGGTTCTCTCTCCTCTCAGATTATAGCAATTGTTTAGTGTAATTGGTCTGAAGACTGGTCTTCTGATTCCACTTATACATTTAATTATACCTGTTTTTTTCTGTTTTGTTTTGTTTTGTTTTTTTAAATTACTCATGAGGTGCAGATATCTCAACTGTCACATTTTTAGGTCTTGTGAAAACTAGTTGACTATATCCCTAGAAGAGCAAATTCTTACTCTACTCTCTTAACTTATATCTAGGTTATTTCTTTTAAAATCGATAGTGAAGAAAATACTTTGAATTCACAAACCAGTGCCACAGGTGGAATGGCTCCAGATGGAACCCTATCAAAAATGGAAAACTTACCTAACACAAACACTGCAAGAACAAAATGGAAGAATTCCTTTGCACCTAAAGACTTTATATTTCAGCCACTGGATGGTGTGAAGACCTATCAAGTAACACCTATGACGCCCAGAAGTGCCAATGCTTTCTTGACACCCAGTTACACCTGGACCCCTTTAAAAACAGAAGCGTAAGGATACAATCTTATCAATGGCTCTTGTTAAGATGGGTAACATGCATTTCTTAGATTCGGCCTTGATTTTTTTAATGTTAGTGAGTGAACTGTGTTAATTATATAAATCTTGAAAATTTGTTCTTTCAGAAAAACTTCAGAAGGGTACTTTGACAGTTTTGATGTTTCCTGTGTATTATTACTATTTTTACTGTGAAATTTGTGGGTTTGGGCCCTTCATAAATAACTTAGTTATAAATTTAGAAGTAAAATTTTTGAAAGAAGAAAATTACTGTTTATAATACTGTAGCTCCAATATGCCTTTTTTTCCTGTGGCTAAGTATTACATTAGAAAATCTCTCAAGACAAAAGCGATGAACTTGAAAAACGAGAAATACATGGGGCTGGCAGGTGGTGTGGAGGTTAATGACAGCTGGATCCCACATGGCCGGCTACGTGGTTCCAGTTTTCTTTCGCAAACTCGATGGTAGTGAACCTACTAGAAACTACTCGGCAGCATCCAGTACTATTAACTAAGTGTTTAGTTAATAGTATTTTATAGTCATTTTTATATTTATTTATTTATTTATTTATCTCTTTATTTTCTTCAATTTATTATAAGATACCTGTGCTTACTAAAGAGAAAAAGAGGGAGAGAGGGAAAATGAGAAATCACCTCCTGGGAGGATGGCCACACTGCAGTCCCTTCTCCATTCTCCTCTTGGGATCTTGAGCATGCATGCACATGTGCCTGGCATGCTATTCAAGCTGGCAGGTCTAAGACGCGAACTGTGCAGTTGGCCATGTGCTATCCAGCTGTCCTGCCACACTACCTGCTAGCTCTTTTTATAGTCTTTTCATAGTCTTTGAGAGATCTTCAAAAATTGTTAATTTCATTATAATTAGGAAAGATGGACATTCCTACTATGTATTTCCCCTCCAGAATAGACATATTAAAAAAAAATAGAAATATTTCTATTTTATCTCAGATTTTTGAAGAGCAACAAAATTTTAAAACCACTGAATGGAGTTCATGTTTCATGACATAATTTTTGTTATTGTCTTTAGTGACAAGACTCAAGAAGCAGTGAAAGAAATTTTGGCACAGAAATATGAAACGAATCATTCTATTGAGACAATACAGCAAGATTCAAGTAAATTGCAATGTCCTTTGGATTCTTTAACAATTTGGAATGGAGGTATGATATTTTAATTAGCTTTTTGCTTTTCTAAATTATGACTTATCAGATTTGATTAGAACACTCTTCTGCCATATGGCTCAGAGATATGAACTCTTGGGGTCAAAAAGATGAGAAAGCATGGGTAAGACATCTGGAGAGAGTAGTAATGAAGGATACAGACTGAGCAGCGAGGAGAAATAATTGTAATTTGAAGAAATGAAAAATATGACAAGATTCATTAGAAAAGATGTGAATGAAATGATTGGGCTAGATATAAAATTTTTAAATTCACTGGAAAAAATTAAAGATTTTTTTAATGTTATCATTCTGTAGGAGATGATATTTTACGAATTGTTTCTTAGACATTTATGTCAGTGTGGCCTTGTAGTGCAGTGTGGTAAGGGAGCTGGATCCTATGTGGCCAACCATGGTTCAAATCCCAGCTCCAGCTGCTTGAAGAACATGTCATGTGCATGTGCATGCCCCAAAATCCTCACAGGAAGGAGGAGTGGAAAAAGGATCGTGGCATGACTCTCCCATTAAGGAGTGCTTCCTCTCTCTCTCTCTCTCTCTCTCTCTCTGGCAAGCACACTCACCCACTAGCAATTTTTTAAAAGAAGAAATTTATGGGGCCAGCAGATGGTATGGAGGCTAAGGCAGGTAGATTCTGTGAAGCTGGCTGTGTGGTTTGAGTCTTGAACCCAGCGGCATGGAAGACATGCTGGGCACGTGTGTGCCCTAAATCCTGAGAAAATGGAGAAGGGATTGCAGCAGTGTGACCATTCCCCTCCCACTTGCAGAAGGGTGATTTTTCTCTTTCCATCTCTCTCTGTCTTTCTCTGGTGAGCACCTACACCCTATGGCAAAAACATTAAAAAATTTTTTTTGTATATTTTTCTTAATTTATAGAACATGTCTTAAATAAGAATGAAGCTACTACTAAAAATTCAAATGGCCTTCCAATAAAGGAAGAAGTCCCATCACTTGAAACAAATGAAGGTCAGATATCTCAGCCTCAACATGATGTGCTGTATTTCAGGTTTGTCTTTTTGTTTCTAGCATAAGAATTTTATATTTATATCTAGACATTTAAAATCAAAATGAAGTTTTTAACCTTAATATAGTAAGTGAGTTGGGAGGAAACTAACTTGAGATAATTTTCTCTTTTTAATATTTTATTTAATTTTTCAGTAGATAATGCATTTATGTGATTCCTAATTCAAGGGTAGGAAAAGATAAAAGTGAGAAGTCTCCTTCTCAACACTGTCTCTTACCCCACAGTCTGAATCTTTTATGAAGTCAGGTGGTACTCATTCCTCGTGAATATGTCCAATGATAGATCATGCATATGTACACAAATCTAAATATTTATTTCCTTTTTAGAATGAAACAATAGGGACCAGTCCTGTGATGCTCTGCATACAGGATGTCTTCTGCATGTGAGGACTAGGGTTGGAGTCAGGAGCCCCGCTGCTTGAAAGACAAGTTGTGAGCACATGTGCTCAGGATCCTAATGTGAGGAAGACAGGTCTCTGTTGGGGGTCATTTTCTCTCTATCTCATGTACATGACCTCTGGCATGATATATCCATGTGTGTGTATATGTGTGTGTATATGTGTGTGTGTATATATATATATATATATACACACACACATGTATATGTATATATATAAACAGTAGTATATAATATACACTATTCTGTTTTCTTTTAATGTTAATGTTGGAAACATTGCATTTTAGTACTTTAAGAGATTTCTCTTATTGTGTGTGTATATGTTTTAATGGCCACATTCTATCCAGTTATATGGATATACCACAATTTATTCGGTAGACCTTTGCTGGTATGAATGTATTGGGTTTAGTCTATTACTGTTACAATTAAGACCACAAAGAACAACCTTGTATGCTTTTCATTCTCTCATGGGCAAATATACAATGACCTTAATTTATATTCCTTCCAGCAAAGTATGGGAGTTTCTATTTTCTCATACTTTTTCCAGTGCCTATTAGCAATTTTCTTGAGCTTTACCAATTATACTATAGTTTTAATTTTTATTTATTCTGAGTATCTTTTTACATGTTCAGAAGCCATTTATTTTTAGAGCATAGGGTATTAGATTTATAAGAGAGTTTTAAGATTACCTAGTCAATTGGTTGTTCAACTACATTATTGAGATAGTAAGCATTATTCCCAGCTAGATCATGTCAGAGCTAAGCCTCATCCCCTTTCTTGTTAATTCAGCATTCTATATTGTGCAATTGAATGCAAACAACTAAAATTTTCTTTTAAGAAACAAAAGTGTCCTCAGTTTTTCCTGCTAGGATGTTTTTATTTTTTTTTTATTTATTTATTTTTTCCATTCCTGAGTTTGAGGAGATGTGTGTCCCCCTTTCTTTTTTAATGGTGATAAAATATATGCAACATTTACCATCTTAAATCATTTTAAGTGTACAATTTAGGGATACTAAATACATTCATAATTCTTAAATATTAACTTCATGCATAATACATTCATAAACTGTACATCTATCATCAGCATTCATCTCCATAACTTTTCATCTTATAGAACTGAAATTGTAAACCCACTAAATAATAACTCCCCAGCCCCTCAGCCCCTGGCAAACATCATTCAACTTTTTGTCTCTGTGATAAGTATCTCATGAGTAGAATCATATGGCATGTGTTGTTTTTTTTTTGTAGCTGGCTATTTCATTTAGCATAATGTCCCCAAGGTTTGCACATGTCAGAATTTATTTCCTTTTAAGGCTGAATAATAACCTATTATCTATGTATACCACATTTTGCTTATTTATTCCTGTTGATGGATCCTGGGGTCGCTTCCATGATTTAGCCATTGGGAATAGCCAAAATCATGGGTGTGCAAATAGCTCTTTAAGAACTTGAATTCAATCTTTTTGGCATGTACACAGAAATAGAATTGCTGGGCCATATGGTAACAATTTTTTTTTTAATTTTTGGAGAGACTGCTATATTATTTTCCTCAGTAATCCTTTTTTCTCATTCTCCTGAGAAGGAGGGTTTTAGGTGTGCACTATCGCACCTGGTTGGTACAGTGTTCTGTGAACTCCTTGGCAGTAGCACCCCTCCAGTCATGCCAATCAAAAACTTCTCCAGATATCACTGAGTGTCTCCTGGCCATAAAAAATGACACTCAGAACCAGCAGGTGGCATGGTGATTAAGGCACAATCTTCTCATATAGTGGTCGGCGGTTTGAGTCCCAGACCTGGTGGCTTAAAAATAACGCTACTTGCATGTGTATGTGTGTGTGTCCAAAATCCCTAGAGGAGACTGGAGGAGAAGGGACTGCAGCATGGCCATCCCCCCTGGGTGATTTCTCACTGTCTCTCTCTCTGGTGAGCGCACATGCCCTCTGGCAAAAACCTAAAGAAAAGAAAAAGAAACAGCGAAAATATATAGAAAAGACCTGACACTGGTTGAAAAAACTACTGTCTTTCTGCAAGCAAAGTGTAATATTTACAAAGAATATATGAAGCCCTATGGCTGTAATGCCAGACTTACAGTTTGTAGCTTCCACTTACCCTTGACAGTTTGGTGGACCTTAGTTCCATGGACGGTAACAGAGAATCCAATACATACTAAGGTATGTCTGACTCTGATCAGCCTTTGAAAAGTGAGAACAGAACAAACTAGAAATGTTTGAAAAGTAGATTCTTGGCATCACTCATCCATGTAAATTTTTGGTGTAAATAGACATACCACAAGAACATCAACATATATTTTAACATATTACAATTCGTAAAAATAGTTAAGCAACAACTCTGGGAAATGAACTTTGAACCTACCTTGTATACCTTCCTAGTATTATGTATCATAGTTTCATAACACTAATACTTGGATGCAGCCATGAGAAACACTTGTAAAACTGAAATGTATGTCATAATTTTAGAAATATTCTCCAATCCGAAACTGAGAAATTAACCTCACACTGCCTTGAGTGGGACAAGAAACTTGAACTGGACATTCCAGATGATGGTGAGGAAAAATTTGTATTTTTTTATTTTTTCTCTTCGGTTATGGTTAAATTCATTTGAAACACAACAATCTAATATCATCTAACTTTATAGTTTTATTATTATTACAATAGTAAGAATTTTTCATATCTCAAAATATTCCCTAATATCTCTGTGCTAAAATGGTATATGACTTAAAAGATGTAATTAGAGGGAACCAGCAGATAGCATAATGGCTATGTCGCTGGACTCCTACGTAGTCGACTACGGGTCGCATCCCGGACCTGGTAGCTTAAAATTCACGCTGGGCGCATGTGCGTGTGTGCCCAAGATCCCAAGAGGAGAATGGAGGAGAAGGGATTGTGGCATGGCCATCCCCCCGGGGGGTGATTTCTCACTTTCCGTCTCTCTGTCTCTCTCTGTCTGGTGAATGCATGCGCCCTATAGCAAAAAAAACTCTCCAAAAAAAAAAAAAAAGATGTAATTAGAATATTGACTGTCATTCCCTTTGAGCTAGAGGTTGTCTATTTAATTATTAGAATTGTTTTTTATAGGGGCTAGCAGATGGCTTGAGGCATGTTGGTTGAGGCACTGGACTCCCACATGGCCAACCGTGGTTCGACCTGGCAGCCTGAATATTACAACAAATAAATAAATAAATGTTTTAAGAAATAATAATATTTTTAAATAATGACTGTTGGTGACATCACTGTCTGTATTGTTTAATTACACAAAAATATTTTCTAAATAAAAATTACCTAAATCAGCTTGGAAAAGATTTCCTGAAGTTTCTCAATCTTATTTGGAGAAGCTGTTATAAAAAACAGTCATGGGGCCAGTAGGTAGTATAGTGATTAAAGCACTGGATTCTCACATGGCTGATTACAGTTTGAGTCCCGCACCTGGCAGCTTAAAATTCACACCAGGTGGGAGTGTGTGCATGACCAAATACCCAAGAAGAAAATGGAGGAGAAGGGATTGTGTGGCATGGCCATTCCCCCTAGGGGGTGATTTCTCGCTTTCACCCATACCCCATAGCAACACTTTCTCTAAAAAATACCCCAAAACCCCAAAAACAATATTCAGGGGCCAGAAGGTGGTATGGAGGTTAAGGGAGCTAGATCCCAAATGGCCAACTCCACAGTTCAAGTCTTGGACCCAGTGACTTGAAATTCATGCTAGGCGCATGTGCATGCATGGCCAAAAATCCCAAGAGGAGAATGGAAGAGGAGGGATTGTGGTGCGGTCATCCACTCTGGGAGGTGACATCAGTTTCTCTCTCTCTTTCTCCTTTCTCTCTGGCAAGCACACACAACCTATAGCAAAAACAAACAAAAAATCATTTGTGTGCTATCAGTGTGAAGTCCTTCTTAGATACTGGTTTGCAATGTTTTTTAGATTGATTTCTTATCAAGTACATGGAGGATTAGAATGCTATATATTAGATAGCAATATGTATGAAAAGTGAACACTATCAGTTTTTAGCAGAAATGGAAACAAATCACTAATGTTCAATATTTATATGCCAAGGTTTTGGAAGATGTTTGTTTTACTTTCAGGTAAGGTTTTGATTCTGTAAGCCCTGGGATACTTAGGTAAGTCTTATCAGTTGGTTAGTTTACCATAAAGATCCTATGTTGTCCTTCACTTATCTAAACCTTGTTTTTCCTTTAGCTAAAGATCTTATCCGCACAGCAGTTGGTCAGACAAGACTCCTTATGAAGGAAAGGTTCAAGCAGTTTGAAGGGCTGGTGAATGACTGTGAATATAAACGAGGCGAAAAGGAGACTACCTGTACAGATCTGGACGGATTTTGGGATATGGTTAGTTTTCAGGTCTGTAATCAAGTATTTTGAATATATATATATTAACTTCTGACTTTTTTCTTTTTTTTTAATTTGGCCACAATAGTATTCCACAATAGTAGAATGGAGTAATAGCTGCTTAGGTACCGGTAATATTGAGGGAAAGATTAGAAAGCACCTTTCTGAACTATTAAGTATTGTCTAAATTGTATGACTGATGTCCTCTCCTCCCACATACTGTCAGGATAATTTCCATATGGTTTGTAAATTGAGATTATATCCAGATCTTAAATAGTCTCAATAACATTGCATGTAAGAAGTCAGTCAATCTTGGCCAGCAGATGGTGTGGTGGTTAAGGCGTTAAATCCCAGTGGCCAACTGCACAGTTCGCGTCTCATACCCGATGGCTTGGGAAACATGCCGTGTGTGTGTGGGGGCGGGGGGGTGTCCTAGATCCCAAGAGGAGAATGGAGGCAAAGGGATTGCAACATTGCTATTCTCCTTGAGGGATGCTTTCTCACTTTCTCTCTGTCTTTCTCTCTCTCTCTCTCGTGAGTGCATGTGCTCTGTGAGGCGGGGGGGGGAAATAAGTAAGTCAATCTAGTCTAGTGGTTCAGTTCAGCTAGCACATTTGTGAAGAAAGCCTCAAACCTAAAAGAAAGACCAAAGCAAATATCTGGGGAGGAAGTTGTTTAGATGGAGTATGGGGTAGGAATACAGGAGAATAGAATTTTTTTTTTTTTTGGAGAGATTTTCACTATAGGGCGCGTGCACTCACCAGACAGACAGAGAGAGACATAGAGACAGCAAGAAATCACCCCCCGGGGGGATGGTCACGCCGCAATCCCTTCTCCTCCAGGAGAATAGAATTTTTAAGCACAGGTGATATTTCATCTGTCAAATAAGAATAATTATTTTAAAAAGAACATTCAGAGAACCACAAAAATAGCTCATTGAAGTTAAATATGAAAGCAGAAATGTTAAGGTGCAACAGAAAGGTAGTCTACATGAAATTAAACAAAATTTCTCATTAAGTAGAGCAAAGAGAGATAGTAAAGTAAGAAAGACTAGGGACCAGTAGGTGGCATGGAGGTAAAGGTGCTGGAACTCACGTGGCCAGTCACGGTTCAAGTCCCAGACCTGGAGGCTTGCTTTCTCACTTTCCCTCTCTCTCTTTCTCTCTCTCTCTCTCTCTGGTGAGCACAAGTGCCGTATAGCAAATTAAAATAATAATAATAAGTAAAATTAAGTGATTCTTAAAAAAAAAAGAAAAACACTAATATATCACTACATACTTACTAAAATGCAAATTCTAAAACTGACACCAAATGCTGCTGAGGATGTGGAGCAACAAGAACTCTGAATGCTTGTGGGAATCAATCACTTCCAACATCCACTTTGGAAAACAATTCGGCACTTGATTGTAAAACTAATCATACTGGTGGGAACCAGCAGTTAGCGTAATGGCTATGTCGCTGGACTCCCACATAGTCGACCACGGTTTGCCTCCTGGATCCGGTAGCTTAAAACTCACGCCGGGCGTGTGTGCGTGCATGCCCAAGATCCCGAGAGGAGAATGGAGGAGAAGGGATTGTGGTGTGACCAGCCCCCCTGGAGGGTGATTTATCGCTTTCTTTTTCTCTGTCTGTCTGTCTGGCGAGCGCACGCGCCCTATAGCAAAAACCTCTCAATAAAAAAAAAAAAAAAACGTAAGCACACTGGTTTTTTAAAGAATTATTTATTTTAATTTTATTTATTCATTTATTTGTTTTAATTTGGCCAGAAAGAGAGAGAGCGAGAGACAGAGGGAAAGTGAAAATGTAAGTCACCAGATCCAAGACTTGAACCATGGTCAGCCATGTGGGAGTGTCCAGCTCCTTAACCACTGCGCCACCTGCTGGCCCCACTAAACATATTCTTACCATATAGTCTAGTAATTATACTGCTTGGCATTTATCCAAGCAAGATGGAAACTTATGTATGTACAAAATAGTGCACATGAATATTAATATAGCAGCTTTATTTATAATTGCCAAAACTTGGAAGCAGCCACAATGTTCTTTAGTAGGGAAATGGGTAAATAAACTGTTAAAAGTAAAAAGTGAATATGTTATATAATTTAAGAAACAAAACATATTTGGGGTATCTTACCTACTATTTTAGCAATCAAAAATAATTTGGGACAGTTATTCATAAATACAGAAAACTTAAAAAAGTTCCTGGAAGGCCAGTTGGAGGTGTGGTGCTCAAGGCATCTGGATCCCACATGGCCTACTACAATTCTAGTCCTGGACCTGGTGGCTAGTCATTTGTGTACGCATGCCCAAAATACTAAGAGGAGAATGGAGAACAAGGGATTGTGTCATGGCCATCCTCCCTGGAGGGTGCTTTCTTTCCCTCTCTCTGTCTCTCTCTAGCTAGTGCACATATCCTCTAGCAATAAAATATTTTTAAGTGCATGGAAAAGTAAAATTAAAGTAGGAATTTATTTTGGTGCAAAAAATTTTGAAATCCATGCGTAGTTTTTTCATTCTATGTACTTTCCATGAACTTTTGAAAAATGCTTCACATATTTTTTTAATAGTTATTTATTTTATTATTATTATTATTATCATTTTAAAATTTGGCCAGAGAGAGAAAGAAAAAGTGAGAAAGCACACAGCCAGGTCTGGGACTCAAACCGCAGTTGGCCATGCAGAAGTCCAGTGCCTCAACCACCGTGCCATTCCTGGCCCACTCCTCATGTATCTTTATGTAAATTTTGGAGGTTTGTAAGGCTATAAATAACAACGAACAGTTTTATCATAAAAATTGCTGATTTGAACACTAAAGTGAGAATGACTCAGTCTTATTTGAATAACTCACCAGTTGTACTTCATTATTCTCAAGTTTTTTCAAAGCTTCCATTTATTACTTTGCTGCTCTAATATGGTTAGTATTAATCTCATAAACTTGTGCTTTATTTATTAACAGATAGAAGATGTAAACCAGAAATTTACCAATCTGTCCAAACTTGAGGAATCTGGGTGGCAGAACAGCAGTAATAATATAAATAGAAAAGTCTTTCGGGTAAGTTCATGTATTTTTATTTTAGGACTTTTTAAGAAGTTTATTTCATGTGACAGAGAGACAGGAACGCCCTCTCCCCTCAACAGTCTGCCATGCCGTGACCCTCCCCCAAGCCTTCCAGGCAGCCAGCATCACAAGCGTTCCCACAGGCACTCTAAGTATCTTCAGGTTGACCTGGGATTGGAACCCTGGGCTTTCCCATATAGCTCCAGTAGCAAACAGTGGTATCCTACTGCTGCACCACCAGTGTATGGGTATTATACTCAAATTTCTAATATAGACTTTTCTCTAATGAATTTTTGTCTTTTAAGTTTTAAAAGCATGTGACTTCAGATTTCTCATCATTTTATAAAGAAAGCGCCACATATTATCTACCGTGTTCTTAAGGCCTTTGAAGAAAGAATAAGGAAATGGGCCACACAATACTTAGGGTGGTTATTTCTGGAGAGAAAAATAGAGTGCAGTGTAGACAGCCTTTTCAAGAAGTTGTGTGTGATCAGGACCTGCAGATGGTGTAATGGTTACTGTCGCTGGACTACCACATAGTCGACCATGGTTCAAGTTCCGGACCTGGCGGCTTAAAACTCACACTGGGTGAGTGGGCATCTGAGCCCAAATCCCAAGAAGAGGCTGAAGAAGGACTGAAGTGTGGCCATCCCCCCTAGGGGGTGATTTCTTGCTTTCTGTCTCTCTGTCTCTTTCTGTCTCTCCAGTAAGCACACACATGCCCTATAGCAAAAATCTCTAAAAGAAAAGAAAAAGAAAGTTGTGTGTGATTAGGAATAGAGAAAAGAACAGGAAGAGTACCAATTAGAGAGGTATGTGGATGACACAGGTTAGTTTGTGATGGAATTGGGGCACTCAGAGTCTTCCGAGTTTCCAGATAATGGGTACGCGAATGTTGGTTTTATTCTTTAAAAGGTATTAATACATTAATACACATAATAATAATGATAGCAGTAGTAGATAATTTATGTGTAATGCTTAGTTTGTGCCAAATGTCATTCCAAGTAGTTTATACATATTAAATATTTTTAAATTATTTATTTGTTTATTTATTTATTTTATTTATTTTCATTTGACCAGAGAAGGACACACACACAGAGAGAGAGAGAGAGAAAGTGAGAAAGGAAGCCGCCAGGTCCAGGACTCAAACTGCAGTGAGCCATGTAGGATTCCAGCACCCTTAACCACCACGCCACCTGCTGGCCTCATACATGTATTAAATATTAACTTACTTAATTCTTGAAACAATCCTATGAGATGGTGCTGTTATTCCCCATTTTATAGTTCAGGAATATGAAGCTCAGGAAAAAATCATTACTCAAGGTAAAGCTGGGGTTTAGACCAAACTTTATCATTCCAGAATCCATGTTCTTAAGCAGCAGGCTATGTCCTGTCTGTTTTAAATGCTTTTTGTGTCTGATAGATTTCAGGATGGAAGAATTTTTTAAATAGAAGGTAGAACAATGGTTCTTTAGAACATCTGTCTTTTCCTGTATTTGTAATCTTGCAAGATTTTCTATTATGTGCTCTTGTTTTAAAGAATTATTTTATTGAACATTGTTTATTATTATTTAATTTGATCAGGGTGGGGGGAAGTGAGAACTCAAGCCACCAGGTCTGGGACTTAAACTGCACACAGCTATGTGAGAGTCCAGTAACCCCAGCCACCATACCACTTGCTAGATCCCCTATTATTTTCTCTGTGAAATTTGCTTTGTCAGTGTAGTACATTCCCTTTTTATCTATTTCTAATCATTCTTTTTCTGATAAAGTTACTAAGTTTTTTGTTCAGGAAGACAATTTAAAGACTGAGCATTGTCAATTTTTCTTTATGATTTTAGAAAAATATCTGTGATCACAAACTCAGATTGTCCAGATTAATGCTTTATTATGCTATGTATTATAAAAGGTTTTAAATAAATAAAAGGTTTTAAATCCTATTTTAGGAGTTTACGGTGTTAAAATATTAAAAGAACTTTATAAAATTATTTTACTAATGAAATTTCATGATATGGTAAGGACCCTGAGCATAGTGACTCAATTGATCACATTTTTAAATCTACTAAATAGTGAGGACTGGCAGGTGGCAGGGTGGTTGAGCTGCTGAACTCCCTTATGACTGGTTTTGTGTGTGTGTCTATGTGTGTGTGTGTGTGTGTGTGTGTGTGTGTGTGTGTTTTCTTTTTGGAGAGGTTTTTGCTATAGGGCACATACGCTCACCAGAAAGACAGAGACAGAAAGTGAGAAATCACCCCCCCTGGGGGGTAGTCACACCACAGTCCCTTCTCCTCCAGGCTCCTCTCAGGATTTTTGGCATGAACGCACACACGCCCGGTGTGAGTTTAAGCACAGGTCCGGACTCAAACTGTGGTCAACTACATGGGAGTCCAGCATAGCCATTATGCCAACTGCTGTTCCCCTCCCCTTGACTTTTAAGTCCCAGACCTGGAGACTTTCACTTTTTTTTTTTTCTCTCTCTCTCTCTGGTCAAATTTAAAAGTGATATAAATAAAAATTTTTAAAATCTACTAAATAGTGAAGAATACCACTTCTTTATTAAAGCTACCATGGGTGTGGATGTTTCCTGTTGAGTACTTATTTCTTATTTCTGAACCATTGATACCATGAGGGGTGTAGATACTGGCCATTTTGTATCAGAGACTTGTAATTCTGCATGTTATCACCAGGTGTCTCTCTCCCTCTACGTTATTTTACAGGCTACTGTTATAAATAAAATAAGCGAATCTTTTCACATATGCTTTGATACCACTCCTTCCAACCTCCCATTCTTTCAGCTTTGTGGGTTTTTTTCTCTGTCCTCCCTTTTTCCCATCAATTTTTAGATATGTTTAAATGTTTTATATTTCTTTACATTAAAGCCAACCAACCAACCTATGGTGCCCACATGTCTCTTTAATAATTTGTAACCCCCTATTCCCACTCTTTATTCCTAATCATAGGCAACTTTCTGGAAAAGTTGTCTACACTGTACTCTATTATTTTGACTCCTATTTATCTCTTCAATTCATTGCAGTTCAGTTTCACCCCATTCTTTGCCTCTTAAAAAGATTACCATCGAAGTTATTTACCCACTAGTTGCTAAAGTTGTTAGACACTTATGAAGTCTAGCCCTTCTGCTTATTAAATACAGTCTACTTCTCTTTCTTGAAATTATAGTCTACTGATTTTCCTCCTATCTCTGTCCATTCTTTGGTCATGTTTGCAAGTTTGTTTTTCTATTTATCCTTTAAAGTTTTTAATTTTTAGAATACCTCAACTCTTCTCTCTTTCCATATTCTTCTTGTGTTATCTTACCTACCTTGCTATGATTCCCGAAACTGTTTCTTTTTCTTTTCTTTTTTAAAATTTTTGCCCGAGAATGGGTATGCTTGCCAGAGAAACAGAAAGAGAGAAAGTGAGAAACCACCTCCCCTTGGTGGGAGATGATCGCACTACAGTCCCTTCTCCATTTCTCCCTCCTTTCAGAATTTTGGGCAGGCATACACAGGTGCTTGGCATATTTTTCATGCCCTTAGTTCTTAGACTCGAACTGCACAGTCGTCCATATCGATTCTTGCTGCTTTAACCACCACACCACTGGCTGCCCCCCTGCAAACCTGCATTTCAAGCCACATTTATTACTGAGTTCTAATTCTATATATCATGACTCATAGATCATGGAAAGTCAATATATCCCAAACTGAAATTACTACCGTACACAGTGATGTTTCCCTGTCTCAAAGAATGGTCACCACCTCACCAGGTGCCCCACATAGAATCTCGTCTCTCATTTGGTCCCTTTTTTCCCTCTCTTTTACCATACCCACCACATACATCTGAGAGACCTGTGAATTCTCTTCATTTTAATGTTTAAGTGAATCTGTTCACTTTTTCCCATCTCTTCCTCCTTAGTCTAGCTACACCATCTTTCCCCAGTATTATTATCATAGTCTCTTTCCTAATTCGCATTTAATCCTCTACGACTTTCTCCAGGCTGCAGCTAGAGTGATCTCTCTTAAACACAAATTTGAGGGACCAGCAGTTAGTGTAATGGCTATGTCGCTGGACTCCCACGTAGTTGACCGTGGTTTGCATCCCGGACCTGGTGGCTTAAAACTCATGCCAGGCGCGTGTGCATGCGTGCCCAAGATCCCAAGAGGAGAATGGAGGAGAAGGGATTATGGCGTGGCCATCCCCTCTGGGGGATGATTTCTCGCTTTCTGTCTGTCTCTGTCTGTCTAGCAAGCACACGCACGTGCCCTATAGTGAAAACCTCTCAAAAAAACAAAATAACACAAATTTGATAACCTCCTGGTTGAAATGCATCAAAAACTTTCAATTCCTTTGTCCTCTATAAATGTAGCTCCTTAAAACAATTACATGCAAGAGCTTTCATGATCTGGCAGTTGCTTATCTCTTACCAAGTCCTGTGTGCTTTCCTTCATTTCTGGCTGTGCAAACATGCTGTTCTGTCTAGTCCTTTCCTTACCCCATCTTATAGCCTGGCTAGCTGTGATTTCAGCACGGTTGCTGCTTCTGCAAGCCTTCCCTGATAGCTCTAAAAGATTGGTCCCGGAGTCTTCCTCGTAGTCTTCTACAGCCCTCCGAACTTCTCTCTTATATGGTCTTTATCCTTCTTACTACCCTTTTCTAGCTCTTCCACAAAGCTATTAACTCCTCGAGGGCAGGAACCTTATCCTTTACTTTTTTGGCACTTACTAGGAACTCAATAAATGTATGAAGAATGTGTGAAATAGTTTATGTATGCTTTGGTTTTCTTTTTAAATTAAATTTTAATGGACAGAAATTATGTTTATCGTGAGATTTTTGTAAGATGGTAATGAACAGTTTTAATATGTGTCATAATTTCTCTTTGCAGAAAAAAGTTTTCTCGGGAGTAGCAAGTAAACCAAATCTGGACGATGGTAGAAGGATTGCAGCTAGAAATCGCCTGGCTGCCATAAAAAACGCAATGAGAGAGAGAATTAAGCAGGAAGAACACGCTGAAGCAGCAGCCTCTGTGGTACTGAAGGAACCTGATAAAATCGTGTTCGATGCTGGATTTTTCAGAATTGAGAGTCCTGTTAAATCATTCTCAGGTTAGTATTTTTGCTGAGATTATTTAAGAGAAGCATTTGGGATAAACGAGAGGTTATATAAAAGGTAAAAATAGTTTTCACACAAAGTGATATAAGCTCTCTGTGCTTTCTAGAAGATAGAATAGCTGTGTACTCACAATCACATGCAAATCACATCTCCACGGGCGTGATCAGATTAGTTTAAGTGTGGTGTATCTTCTAGGACCGCTTTTGTATTTTCTAAGTGTTATTAGCATGTAACCCCACAAATCTGTGAGATATACCACAGGTTCTGAAGAGGTAAGAAATGAGAAGTAAAATGATTTTTCTTTAGGTCAATTAGAAGTTGGGTTAGAATTTAAGATGCAAAGGAAACTTAGGCATCAAGCCATCACTTCTAGCTATGCTTTTAAATGAAGCTTATGGAAGGTAGATTTTATTTTATTTTTATTTTCCATTATTAAAACTTTTGCTTTGGGGCCAGCAGATGGCATAGTGGTTAAGGTACTGGAATCCCATGTCAAAGACTGTGGTTTGAGTCCCTGACCTGGAGGCTTGAAACTCAGTCTAGGCGTCTGTGCGTGAGTGCCCAAAGTCATGAGAGGAGAATGGAGAAGGGATTTTGGTGTGGCCATCCTCTCTGGGGTGATGGGGGTGATTTCTTACTTTCTGTCTTTGTCTCTCCAGTGAGTGCATGCACTGTACAGCAAAAAAATCTCTAAAAGACAAAACAAAACAACTTTTTAAAAAAGAATTATTTATTTATTTATTTTAATTTGACCAGAGAGGAACAGAGTGAGAGAGAGTGAGAAAGACAGAAACTGAGAAAGCAAGCCACCAGGTCCAGGATTCAAACCATGGGTGGCCATATGGGAGTCCAGCGCCCTTAACCACCACGCCACCTGCTGACCCAAAAAACTTCTGCTTAAATCTTTTTGACAGACAGACGGTGACTGTCCTAATTTCCGAATTTTAAAATAGTTCAGTGAAACCAGTTTTTAATACTTCAGGACATCATTCTTTGTACAATTTTTCCAACTCCATATTTTTGACAGATAATTTTCACAGACTACTTTTATTAGATTGCATTTATTTACCTCTACTGAAATTATGTATAAGCCATAGATGCCCACGGAAGCTTCTATTAGGAAGCTTTCTCAGAGGAAATCCACACTGCCTCTAATACCTGCTATCCGATACTTATATTGACATGTGAAACGTATCACGTCAAGTATGTTATAACCTCCTTGTGGGTTTGGATTCACATCTGGTGCACTTTACTTTGTTTCCTTTATGTTAAGCAGCTGTACTCTCTGGATACCCAGGAATCTTCCACTATTGCTTATAACATGACCCTTTGCTATTGTACTTATTTATCAAGAATCCTGGTGGTTTCTGCAGTTAAGAGCTCATTGCTCTGTTCTTTCACACACCCAACTCAGTCCTTACGGATAGTGAGATGAAGGTTTATGGCAAAAGCTGATTTTTTTTTTTTTTAAGAGAGATTTTTGCTATATGGCATGTGCATTTGCAGAGAGACAGAAAATGAGAAATCACTTCCCAGAGGGTATGGTCACACCACATTTCTCCTCCATTCTCTAAGGATGTTGGGCATTCGCTCACACGCACCGGCATGAGTTTTAAGCCACTGGGTCTGGAACTTGAACCACGGTTGACTACATTGGAATCCAGCAACACAAGCATTACACCATCTGCTGGTCTCACAAGATGAGTTTTTTAATATTGAATTTTAACTATAAAGCATATAGTTCATATGAGCCTTGTTATAAAACTATAATTTCCTCAGAGAACCCCTCCAATCCCATTTGCTAGTCCCTAGAAACAGCCCTTTTAGTTCTTACTGGAATCTTTGTTGTTTATCACAAGCTCACCAAACAAAGTTTAATCTTTTTTTTTTTTTAATTAGAAACACCTATTTCTTTCTGGTAGACTTGATATAAATATATATGTAAATATATAATTTACATTTAAGCACTGTTTATCTATCTTTCTTTTTCTTTTCTTTTTTTCTTTCTTTTTTTTGGAGACGTTTTTGCTATAGGGTGTGTGCACTCGCCAGAAAGACAGAGAGAGAAAGTGAGAACTCACCCCCCAGGGAGGATTGCCACGCCACAATCCCTTCCCTTCCATTCTCCTCTCAGGATCTTGGGCACACACGCACACGTGCCCGACATGAGTTTAAGTCACTGGGTCCAAGACTTGAACTGTGGCCAACTACATGGGAGTCCAGTGACGTAGCCATGCCATCTGCTGGTCCCCGCAACTGCAAATATTCCGTTTTATAACATTCTGAACTTGCTTTGTAAGTGCAATATCTTATCTTTCTAAGGCTATTAATGATAGCCTTTATGTTTTTTGTCCTGCTATCGTCGATATCTGTTTCAAGATGTTTTCATCTGTTTTGGTGTTTCTCTGTTGTGTTAGAGACTTTTCTCAGGAATCTGGTGATCCTTCACTGGCAGCTCATGGCTGAGAATGGGGCACTATTAAGCTGTCTGCACATGGGGCCTTCACTGTGGGTTGAGTTAGCTGGGCTACTGTGCTGGGAGCATGCACATCATTGCGTTGAAGTCTTTTTCTCATAAGCAAGCAACTCCAATTCCTCAGAGAAAATTCTTCCCACTGCTGCCTAGGGTCTATAATTCTGGTCTCATGGTGTCAGCCATTCAGGACCCCTGTCGATGGGACGAAAGCTGAGTGACTCACTGCAAATAATCACTTATTCCCCTTTCTTCTAAACAGTACTCCTCTCCTAACTGCCTGTATCACCCTCTGTTTTGCCTCCTTGGGAAAATAAACCTCTAGTTTTCTGGTTTTAGTTGAGGGGAAGGGGGTGTTATATTTGTTCTACTGGACAGGAAGGGGGAAGGACTCTGAGCTCAGATGTTCACTAAACTAACTTAGAACCAGCCCTACTCTGTTTAGCTCCATTTCTATCTCTGCTTCCAGAGATACATAGCGCCACCACTTCTGAGGGTTTCTGTGGTAGAAATTGGGTTGATTTTCATCCTTCCTAATTGGTGGCTTAGGATTCGTTTTCTTGGGTCAAAGTATAATAATGTCCCACTTACCAATCTACATTATAGTTTTCAGATTGTTCTTGTTATTGTTCTCTCTTCTTTACTTTCCTTTGTCCTTATGGAGTTCTGCCTTTTAAGATTATCTCTGGTGGAGCCAACAAGTGGCATGGCGGTTAAGGGCACTGGACTCCCACGTGGCTGACCGTGGTTCCAGTACCAGACCTGGCCTCTTGCTTTTTCACTTTCTCTCTCTCGGTCCTTCTCTGGTCAAATTAAAATAAATAAATAAGTAAAATGAAATAAAATAATTCTTTAAAAACAATAAGATTATCTCTGTTTTTTCATATTTTTTTAAGAATTATTTTATTTAACTTTCCTTCTTTATTTTAATTTTTGCTAGTCCCTAGAAACAGCCCTTTTAGTTCTTACTGGAATCTTTGTTGTTTATCACAAGCTCACCAAACAAAGTTTAATCTTTTTTTTTTTTTAATTAGAAACACCTATTTCTTTCTGGTAGACTTGATATAAATATATATGTAAATATATAATTTACATTTAAGCACTGTTTATCTATCTTTCTTTTTCTTTTCTTTTTTTCTTTCTTTTTTTTGGAGACGTTTTTGCTATAGGGTGTGTGCACTCGCCAGAAAGACAGAGAGAGAAAGTGAGAACTCACCCCCCAGGGAGGATTGCCACGCCACAATCCCTTCCCTTCCATTCTCCTCTCAGGATCTTGGGCACACACGCACACGTGCCCGACATGAGTTTAAGTCACTGGGTCCAAGACTTGAACTGTGGCCAACTACATGGGAGTCCAGTGACGTAGCCATGCCATCTGCTGGTCCCCGCAACTGCAAATATTCCGTTTTATAACATTCTGAACTTGCTTTGTAAGTGCAATATCTTATCTTTCTAAGGCTATTAATGATAGCCTTTATGTTTTTTGTCCTGCTATCGTCGATATCTGTTTCAAGATATTTTCATCTGTTTTGGTTTTTCTCTGTTGTGTTAGAGACTTTTCTCAGGAATCTGGTGATCCTTCACTGGCAGCTCATGGCTGAGAATGGGGCACTATTAAGCTGTCTGCACATGGGGCCTTCACTGTGGGTTGAGTTAGCTGGGCTACTGTGCTGGGAGCATGCACATCATTGCGTTGAAGTCTTTTTCTCATAAGCAAGCAACTCCAATTCCTCAGAGAAAATTCTTCCCACTGCTGCCTAGGGTCTATAATTCTGGTCTCATGGTGTCAGCCATTCAGGACCCCTGTCGATGGGACGAAAGCTGAGTGACTCACTGCAAATAATCACTTATTCCCCTTTCTTCTAAACAGTACTCCTCTCCTAACTGCCTGTATCACCCTCTGTTTTGCCTCCTTGGGAAAATAAACCTCTAGTTTTCTGGTTTTAGTTGAGGGGAAGGGGGTGTTATATTTGTTCTACTGGACAGGAAGGGGGAAGGACTCTGAGCTCAGATGTTCACTAAACTAACTTAGAACCAGCCCTACTCTGTTTAGCTCCATTTCTATCTCTGCTTCCAGAGATACATAGCGCCACCACTTCTGAGGGTTTCTGTGGTAGAAATTGGGTTGATTTTCATCCTTCCTAATTGGTGGCTTAGGATTCGTTTTCTTGGGTCAAAGTATAATAATGTCCCACTTACCAATCTACATTATAGTTTTCAGATTGTTCTTGTTATTGTTCTCTCTTCTTTACTTTCCTTTGTCCTTATGGAGTTCTGCCTTTTAAGATTATCTCTGGTGGAGCCAACAAGTGGCATGGCGGTTAAGGGCACTGGACTCCCACGTGGCTGACCGTGGTTCCAGTACCAGACCTGGCCTCTTGCTTTTTCACTTTCTCTCTCTCGGTCCTTCTCTGGTCAAATTAAAATAAATAAATAAGTAAAATGAAATAAAATAATTCTTTAAAAACAATAAGATTATCTCTGTTTTTTCATATTTTTTTAAGAATTATTTTATTTAACTTTCCTTCTTTATTTTAATTTGATCAGAAAGGGCCAGAGAGAGCGAGAGAAACTGAGAAAGCAAGCCACCAGGTCCAGGACTGGAACCGCGGTCGGCCATGTGGGAGTCCAGCACCCTTAACCACCACGCCACCTGCTGGTCCCAAGATTCTCTCTGTTAATGTTAGAATAGTGGGATGTCAAATGGAAGCAGAGTCTATGTGTGTGTTTACTACTAATCTTTAACTGAAACTCCCAGGCATTTGACTTTCATAAACATTTGACCAGAGGAAGAGTCTAGTTGGCAAGATTTGCACTGACTTCCTAACTACAATGAAAAGTAGATGAAAGAGCTTTTTGGTATTGAGATCATTTCTCTCATCTTCTAGGACTTTCTCTCTCTTCGGAACGTCTTTCTCAAAGACTTAGAACACCCAAGTCTGTAAGCAAAGTTGTGTCTCAGAACAGGGCTGAGATGGGCCTTTTAAGACATACTACATCACCAGAGAATCCTGATCCTCAGAGTACCAACTGCGAACATGTTGATAAGAAGACTTTGTCTTCAAATATCCCTGAAAGCAGGTATTTCTTTAATATGTTAGTAAAAGTTTAATAAACGCTAATGTTAAATACCATTTCAGATTGTTAAGCTAGTAAAATGTGCCAGTCATATATTTTTAATTAAACTATACAATGATCCTGTGTTGTATACTTTAGGTAATACTTTCTTTATATAAATGAGGAAATTGAGGCTTACAATTTCAGGCTAGTAAATAATCATGTTTACATGAGCAAAGTAATTTTTGTAGTACCAGCAAGAAAAGAAGCAATTTGGTGTCCTATGTTGCTAAACAAACTAAAGCTTTGGGGTTCAGCTTTTTTGTGCTCAAAACCCACTCTGGCTTACTACCTATGAAACTTTGGGGCAAGTTAATTAACTCTTTGAGTTTCACTTTTATCATCCACAAAACATTAAGTATTGCACCCAGCCTTTATAGAGAATACTTTGAGATTGTCTTATTTATAGATGGCAGAGCATAGAAGGGTGAACTAAACTATTATGGACTAGACATGGTTCTAGGTTCTTATTTATTTATTTTCTGATTGCCAGAAGGCATATGTACTCTCCAGAGAGAGAGAGAGAGAGAGAGAGAGAGAGGAAGAAAGCACCCTCCAATGGGGCATGGTCATGCTACAATCCCTTTTCCTCCATTTCAACATCTAATTAGGATTTGGGGCATATACGTACACGTGCCCGGTGTGGTTTTCTAGCTTATGAGGCCAGGATTCAAACCACCATTGGTGTTATGGGATCCAGTTCCTGATGCACTGCACTTAACCACTGTGCCACATTGTTATTGGGCTGATTCTTTGTTATTAATAGTGTCATCTCATTTAATCCCCAAAACAACCCTGTTATGTAGTAGTTCCTCATTTTTTAAGTGAGAAAACTATAAGTAAGTTACACAAATTAAGCTTATAATTAATGAAAGTGGATGCTCCTTACATTTTTGTCTACTATACTGTACTGGTTCACAAGTGCATCAAAATTACTTCTTTTTGGGGCCAGCAGGTGGCGAGGTAGGTAAGGTGCTGGATTCCCACATGGCCAACTTTGGTTCAATTTCCGGACCCAGCAGCTTTCAAAGTATACTGGGCGTGTATGCATGCATGCCCAAAATCCTGAGAGGAGAATGGAAGAAAAGGGACTGTGTCTTGACCATCACTCCTGGGAAGTAATTTCTCACTTTCCCTATCTCTGTTTCTCTCTAGCAAGCACATATACCCTATGGCAAAAACCTCAGGAAAAAAAAAAAAAAGAGAAATTAGTCCTTGTTTAGGGAGCATAGATGCCTGGCAAATCTGATAGGAAAAATTGCTTCTTTTTCTTTTTCAGAAAAAGCATAGTAGAAGATGTTCAGTGTACTGAATTACAGGATTTCGTTAAAGGAAGACACGTAAGTCCTATTCCAGTGTGAAAGACAGCCCAGTACCTCATCTTTGATATCATTACAAATAGTAACTCAATAAGCAAACCCTAGAATTGCCATTATAAATATAAATCAATCATATATTATTGGGTCATCGGAAAAGTCATGGTGTATTTTTCTATGCAAAAATGCGTCATGACTTTTCCAATGACTCAACAGAATAATAGTTTTTGTATCAATGGGATTTGGGTGGTTTGAAGTCCTAGTGTCATTTTGTATCCTTCAACTCTTGTCAAGGTAAATATCAAATCAGTGAACTAGTGGAGGGATCAGCAACCTATGACCCTAGTTTTGTAAATCAAGATCTATTGTACGATAGCCATGCTCTTTTGTTTAAACTATATTTAAATGTTTTGCAATACAAAGGTAGGGTTGAGTGGTTATGACAGAGACTCTGTGGCTCACAAAACTTGGTTCTTCACAGAATGGTGTTTGCCAGTCTCTGAACTGGAGTATAGGTACTTGCTAAGAAATTTGCCTTCAATTATACTATCTAATATCACATGGGCTAATTGCTTAAGAAGCAAGATAGCAGCGTTTATGATTTTCTTTAACCTGTGTTCAGAAGATCATTCTTCCATTTTTCCTAAATTTAATAGCAATAATACTTTTTCATTTATTCCAATTTTTGTTAATTAAATGTAGTGCCATTCTTATTTCCAGGATGTAGATAAGATAAACTTTGAGGCGTATTGTTTACCCAGTGAAAGAACAAGTTTGCCTCTTCTTGCTGGTGGTATAGCTGATGATCTTGGTACTAAACAAAAAGAAGAAATTCCAAGTATTGTGGAAGGAATGGAACTAAATTCGTCAATTACGTCACAGGATGTTTTGATGAGTAGCCCTGAGAAAAGTATACCATCACAAAACATCTTACAAGAAGAGGACCCTAAAACTTCTCAATTAGGTGAGCACTTTTAAATTTATTTAAATGAGACTTTCCTAAAGAAATTAATTTGGATTAAGGCATACATAACCATAAATACTAATGAGTAACTTTTTGAGAATGACGGTACTAATCAATGCTAGATATAAGGAGCATTTTCATTAGGCCTAACTATTTGGGATCCTTCATTATTAGTGAAGGCTCAGAAAAAAATACCTCAAGTGTTTTAGTTCTTTTCAGGGCATATCCCCAGACCTTTCTTCAAAACATCTTATTTTTATTCCCTATTGCCTATTTCTACCTACTTGGTCATGATCGTTCTACAATAGGAAATGGCTCTAATATTTTTGTTATAATGTGTGCCAGTTTCAAAGACTATTTCCTGTTTTTTCCTGTGATAAGAGACAGAGGGGGAAAGAGACGGAGGGAGCGGAAGAGAGACAGAGATAGAGACCGATATCTTTGACAAGGCCTTGTCTTGATCTTCCTGCCCCAGCTCCCAATTAGCTCAGATTACAGGTGCCCACAACTGCTCCTGGTGTCTTCACATCATCCCGGGAAATGAACCTATGTCTTCCATGTGGCTTTCAGCTTCCCAAGTGATCCATCCTGCGCCCCACTGTAGCTGGGCCCATCTGCAATACATGTAGCAACTTTCATCTGCTACTCTGTGGGTCTAGCTGGGGCCTAAGGTGAAGTAAAATGTTATCACTTTGGCCAGACATTTAATGTCCTCCAGCTGTTCTTCAGTAGTATCTTTTGGTTACCTTCAGTATAAGCATAGGATTTATTTTCAGAACATTCTTTTCACTGACATTAAGGGTAAGAATTTTATCCAGAAATTTAACTGCATTTTAAAAGATATTATAAAATAAGGGACCAGCAGGTGGCGTGGTGGTTAAGGTGCTGGACACTCCCACATGGCGGACAACGGTTTGAATCCCAGACCTGGTGGTTTACTTTCCCTCTCTCTGTGTTTCTCTCTGGTCAAATTAAAAAATAAAAATAATAATAAGTGAATGAATAAATAGAATAAAATGTCCTTTTGTTTTAGCATTCGATATAAGGAACTTTTCATGTCTCTCAAGTCTATGTACATTTTTAACAACCCTTGACTACAAGAATATTCTTTGAAAAGTTAAAAGTTATTTATTACCCTGTTTTTCAGTACTACTCGATAATGAAAGCCTCGCTGCTGAATGTGACCTTCTTAATTCAGTAAGTTTTCTAACCTAATTTGACAAATTCTCTTATATTCTAGATTTGTTTTATAAAATGAATATTACTCACTTTTCAATTTGTATACAAGGTTTAAAATTGTTATAATTGGTGGGACCAGCAGTTAGCGTAATGGCTATGTCACTGGACTCTCATGTAGTCGACTGTGGTTCGAGTTCCGGACCCGGTGACTTAAATTCATACCAGGCACATGTGCGTGCGTGCCCAAGATCCCGAGAGGAGAATGGAGGAGAAGGGATTGCAGTATGGCCTTCCCCCCGGGGGGTGATTTCTCACTTTCTGTTTCTCTCTGTCTTTCTGGTGAGCACACGCGCCCTATAGCAAAAACCTCTCCAAAAAGAAAAAAAGAAAATTGTTATAATTGTTTTGCTTACTCTCAAATCCATTCATTTTTCTCAAAATGGAGGAAAAAAAAATTCCATTTTTGCTTATGTACTCTACTCTTTTCCATTTCATTTATGTACTCTAGCATATTTTATTAAACTCTATATATTTCTTTCCC